AGCTTTCTGGGGCTGCACCTTAAGGACGAGGCATGGTTGGGGGTTGGAGAAATTGGAAGGCCAAACACCAGGGCTCTGGGCCTGGGCAGTTTCCGGAGTTGCTCACTGCCTCTGGGCCTGGAGCAAATCACTTTCTTGCTCTGAGACTCCATCTCTTTTTATCTGCCTGGTGACTTCCTCTGTGCTGGCCAGTGGTGAGACTAGATGAGGAAAGCCACCTGCCAGAAACTGAGTGTTGCAAAATGTGGCCTCATGAATGTTGATCTTGACACCATCCTTGAGAAATTCTGTCGGGTTTTCCTCGTTCATTCATTCATGAATGTAAGCTTGCCTTGCTTTTTATTTGTTTTAATTTTTTATTTTACTTTTTTATTTTATTTTTTTCTTTAGTGTTTCCAAATTTACATTTTCTCTCTGTAAGAAAAATGATAATCTTCGAGTTGGCTTTTTTCAGTGTTTTATCCGCTTCTCCTTGTTCTGGAAGAGTGTTGTGGTGTTAAAGAGAACTATAGTCCTACTATCTGAGGTCCAAAAGAACCACCAACGATGAGCACCAGGTATCACATGATCATGTACATATATGTCAACTGAGGTTCAGATACATTTTTCTTTAAAACATATGGGAGAGTCTCCCTGCCAATTAAGAATCACTGAAATAATTCAGCTGTGCTTCCTGGGGTTGGATCTGAGACGACATTGGCACTACCTCCTGTTTGTGTTAACAGCTTTATTGAAGCATAATTACATACCATAAAATTTACCCATCATAAATGTACACTTCAGTGAATTTAGCACATTTAGAGCATCATGTGGCCATTACCAGGGAACATTTCCATCATTCCAAAAAGAAACCTGTACCCATTTATAGTTACACCCCACTGCTTCCTCCAGCCCCGGGCAACTACAGATCTGGACTCTATAGACTTATCTTTACTGGGCATTTCACCTAAGTGGAATCCTACAATATGTAGCATTAGTACATGGCTTCTTTCATTTAGTCTAATGTTTTTGAAGTTTATCTGTATTGTCATGTATTTGGAATTCATTCTTTTTCATTGTTGAGTAATATTCCATTATATGGGTATATCACCATTTGTTTGTTCACCAGTTGACAAACATTTGGATTGTTTCCAGTTTGAGGCTATTTTAAGTAATGCTGCTGTGGATATTTGCATACACGTCTCTGGGTGGACCTGTTTTTCCTTTTCTTGGATGGATTCCCAGGAGCGGAATATTTGGGTCGAATGGTAAGTTTATGTTTAAGATTTCAAAGAAATTGCCAAACTGTTATCCAACATTGCTACTCCATCTTACATTCCCACAGCAATGAATGAGGGTTTTAGTTTCTCCACACCCTTGCCCACATTTGCTATTTCCTATTTTTAAAATTATAGCTATGCTAGTAGGTACATAGTGGTACCTCATTGTGGTTTTAATCTGCATTTTCTTAACAACTAATCATGTTGCGCATCTTTTCATGTACCCCTTAGCTGTCCATGCATCTTCTTTGATGAAATGTCTATTAAAATATTTTGTTCATTTTAAAATTAGGTTGTTCATCTTCTTACTGAGTTGAAAGGTTTATTTTTTTAATTTAAAAACTTTGATAGGATTTTAATTTTGCAAATCAAATTTTTTAAAAGTAAGCAGTTGGATAAGATGGTTTATACTCATGGTATTTATACTTTCAAAGTCCTTGCTCCTGAGCCTTTAAAGTCTTTACTCCTGCACATTGTCCCGAGACTGGGGAGGCAGGCATCCTTCATTTTTAGAAGAGGATATCACTGCCCAGAGAAGAAAAGTGAGGGGTTCGGGTTACCCAGTTTATTGGATGTACAGCCAGGATCTGGAGTGTGACCCCACTGGAGACTGGGAGACTGAGTGGAAGCTTTTCTCTCTCCCCAGGACTCAGTGTGGGGCCTGGTATTGTCCCAAGGCTTGCCGGGAAGCAGAACTGATGTGGACCTTGGACCCAGGCCTTGGACCTGTGTTTGGTAGAAGGGTGCGCTTGTTTGCCAGGTTGGGAGCCAGGTGCCCAGGTGCCCAGAGATGATGGTCAGAGGGTCCTGTTGGCTTTGGCTTGACTTCTCATCCTTTGGGCAGCTGAATCACACAGGTGGTTCTCCTGGCAGCGGGCACTTTGTCTTTTCTCACTTCATAAAGATTTCCATCTAGGGCCTCCATTGCGGCGGCACAGATGTATCTCCTCACCCTTGGTGACCCTGCCCTGCGGGAAGATTCACTCCCTGCACGTGCCTTCATGCGATGTGGGCTCCAGGCCTGCATCTGGGCGACCGTGGAGGTCCTTGGCCTGCAGAAGTGCCAAACTTTCCCGGGAGACTGGAAACACTTCTTCCTCTCCTTGAGCAACAGACCCTTGCTGATTGCTACACCAGATGGGCAGTCCCAGACTCTCATCTGGTTGATGGGAGAAAGAAGCAGAATGTTTTCTGTTATCCTGCTCCAGAGAGAGCTACGGCTCTTGGAATATGGGAGGATTGTAGTTGAATATTAAAATCTTGCAGGAGCCATTTTTCACTTGGGTTCTCACCATTGTCCCTCTGGGAATGTTTGATTTCTCACTTTCCCTTTGTGACCCTTAAGGCCCCTAAAGTGAGGCCACCCCGTGTGGAGGGGCTGAGCACACCGTGCTGGGCTATTTAGACTGTGAACTCTGCATCCGGCAGGAGCAACCAAATGTGCATTGCAGCTGCCAAAAGACTTCATTCAGTGGCTCATTGAATTCAATGGAAAGAGGTGTTAATAGAGTCAGGGGAAGTGATGCTATTAAAAAAAATGACATTGTGTGGTTCTGCTCTGTGTTTATTCTCCCTCAATGACTTCCAGATCAAACTTACATGGCTTTGCATCAAAAGATGCCTGTTCTGGACTCCAGTTTGCGGCAAATAAGATAGCCAGCAAGTTAACTCCTCTCCCCCTGCTGTATCCCGTTCCTTGGGATGATTGTCAGATGGTGCAGGATTGCCTCGGCCCCGGTGGGAATTGCGTCTTGGTGTCAGCACAGGAGCGTGATAGCAGGGTCACGTGTCACGCAACGGTCGGGCCGCTGGCCTCAGCCTCCAGCCGTGATTAGGGTCTCTCCAGCTCTCCAGTCGAAAATCCCGAGGGTGGGGTGTTGGTGCAAGAAAGGGATCAGAACTCTGTGTTTTTCCTCCCTCCCTGATAAGATGCAGGGAAGTCGGCCAAAGGTTTTGGGAGCTCCAAATGGCGGAGGGTTGTTATTATGGGTGATGTGACTGGCGTCGCTGAGACTGTCTGAGAGCTTGCATTCTCCATAGTTAATGAACTCGGTGGAGGGGATTAAGAGGTACAACCTTCCAGTTATAAATAAGACACGGGGATGTAATGTACAGCATAGGGAATATAGTCAATACTATTGCAAAGCCTTGGTGTGATGAGAGGTGGTAACTAAATGAACTGTGGTGACCATTCTGTAACGTGTATGAACATCAACTCACCATGTTGTACACCTGAAACTCATACAATATTGTATGTTAATTATTCTTCCATTAAAATAAATAAATGCCAATTATAATAACCAAAAACTTAAAAATAAGAACCATTGGCAAAACAAATATAAATAAATAAATATAAAATAAATGATTGAATAAAATGACCAAAAAAAATAGTTAATGCTTGGAGAATATAGTGTTCTGTTGTACAAGATCTCTGGGGGATGGTGTAATCATCCCACTGCCTGAGAACGAGGGGCTCTTCTTCCCCCAGCCCCTCCCAGGGAGAACGCAGATAAATCTCTAAACTATGTATTCTCGATGGAGGCAGAGATACCAAGAAGGCGAAATTGATTGGGGAGGGGGGACAAAAGCACTCTTGCTCTTTTTACATATAAAGCACAGATATACATATGGTTCATCAACAGATACACAGGGTATCTGTGCTATTAATATTTCATTAGGAAGGCGATTAGGAAAAAAAAAATCTAAAAATGCTCTTTAGGTGGACAGTAATGAAAAAAGTTGAGAGGAACTGCCCTGCACTAAGGTTTTGGGGGATCTTGATGAAAGTAACCCAGAGTCCTGAAAGGTGGTAAAGTCTACACTCACTCCTGCCCTGCAGAGGTTCTTGCTCTGCAGAGAGCTGCTGACTCTGTTGGAACGATATGCATTAGCACTTTGTTACTGGGAACTTCGTGCTCCCATCATCTATGGTAGAAATTTCAAAGCCAATCCAGGGTTCAGTTTCTCACATCCCCTTCTATTTTGTTTGCCCCCACCTCTCACCGGGAATGGGAGGGCACAATGTTTCACAGTTAGAAGTGTTCTAAGGATTCCTGATTCTCTTCAGTTCAGCATACTGGAGAGAGGATGGTCCTTCCTTCCTTTTCTTCCTTTTTAGGTGAGGATAGAGAAATAGCTAGGTGTTCGGGAGGGAATACACCACAGTCTCTTGTTTTCCTGAAGCTCTTCAATGAGGGCCACTAGGTACTAGGCTGGTACCTTTCACAGAAGGGCAGGAAGGAACTGGGGACACCAGAATTTGATGCCACAAAGTATGCCAACCTTATCCTAACATGCCTGGCCAAAAACTCGGGCCTGCTGGGGAAGATGCACACCCACACCCCCCACCCCAGCTTTCCTGTGGGGATACCAGGGCTGACAGAGTCATCATGCCCATACATGCGGATTGATGGGGAAGGGCCCTCCAAAGTCATGACAGTTGAGTTCCCTTTTGTCCCTCCCCTGGGATGGTGAACATACACCTGGGTTTGTCTTACTGTTGGTGTCTCTCTGGGGTTCTTTTTTTCTTCCTGTTCTTTCTTTCTTTCTTTCTTTCTTTCTTTCTTTCTCTTTCTTTCTTTCTTTCTTTCTTTCTTTCTTTCTTTCCTTTCTCTTTGGCCTCTTCATTGGGACTTGGCCGGGCCATGTGCAAACCCCAACCATTCAACAGTGCTGGAGAGTAGATAGTATTTACCTCAATAATGGTAGTCTCTTTTCGATTCTTTTTAACCCTCAATTCAGATGACGGGTCGAAGCCGACACCCACGATGGAAACTCAACCCGTGTTCGATGGAGATGGTAAGCTCTTGTATTACTTCCGACTCACATACTCCCACCCATTTTTATGTTTGAGGAACGTCTTTCCTTTGGGTGTTTGAATAAGCTTTATTATTAGTTTTTTTCTTTTTTAATTTCAATTTTTCCCAGTTTAGGCTGGGTTGTTTTAACCTTTAAAAAAATGCAGATCCTCCCAGGAACTGGTGCACTCTCTACTTCTGGAAAGGCCCTCTGTTCTAGCCAGGCTTCCTGCCTGGCCACTGATGTCCAACAATAACACAGTCTGGATGGACCCTTCGAGCTGCCAAGACCAAGGAGCCATGGCTGAGAAAGACAGGCCAGCACTGTCCCTTCAGTAGATGAACCAACACTTACAAGTTCCTTTACTGTGCCTAGCATTGTGCTAGGCCTCTGGGGGACAAAGAAGGAAGAGTTGAGACGAAGCCTTTGCTCTCAAGACAATGGCAACTGCTAGAGAATTTTATGTGTTAAATTATATGGTCTCAGTTTTTATCGTAGTGGACATTTTTGGAAGAAAGAGATCACAGTGGTCTGGAGAAAGACTATGTGAAGAGATGGGACCTGGGCTGGATCTTGAAAGGCGAAGGGAAGAATCAGGGCATTGCAGTGAGGGGACTGGAATGGGCAGAGGCGAGATTATGGTGGGGATGAGGTATGGTAGGAAAGTAGGAGGAAAGAGATTGGTTAGTGGACCTGGTTTGGCTAAGTTGGACCTTGAGAGCATTTGAGAGAGAATTCTAGGGCAAGAGAAATAGTGTAGCTGGTAGTAAGATAGAGGCTGAATGTCCCTGAAGGTATGAGGAGTAGACAAGAGGAGTGTTGGGTGCAGAAGGCTGGCCTCTATTTGAGTTTGAGCTGCTCATGACCTACATTCTTCAGTGTGCTTTGCCATATACTCCAGGTTCCCATGAGGAGGAGTATGAAGCTTGGCAGAGTGCAGTTTCTAGAAAGTCTGACAATGAGGTTCAGCTCTCAGTGCAATATGCAGCAAGCTTTGAGCAGCTTTCAGTTGAGTGTATCCAGACCTGGATCACGAGACTGGACAGGGAGACAGGAATGAAAAGAAATTATGCCACTGGTTGATACTGTGGCTACAGATGTCCCTAGCAGAGGCTCAGGTCTAGGTAGAAGGATTGAAATGTGAGCTATCCTTCACAACTGGTCATTTAGTGGAACATATATATGTGTGTTCATGCCTAGAAATTCAGATGTTTCTGTGATCCACAAATCTCTTGGATTTTTGGCAAGTCTGGATCTTGAGGGATCAGATGGGAAATGGAGACCGTGTCACCTTGGGAGATCGCCCCAACAATTTCACTAAAGAACTCATCACTCTTCAGTGTGTTCAGGATCCTCCCAATTCTCATACCACTTGTCCACTGTGTGACCCAAGCCCTGAACGGCCTAGAGGCCCCCCAAGCTCTCTGGATGGAGGGATTCAGCCTCTGTTCATGAGAAACCATTAGGAAGGATATTGACGCACACATTGGACTCATCACTTTCCTTCCCATGTGGAACAGAGTCTCAGCAAGCTGAAATCTGTTGTGGCTCAGCCATTTCCTTCAAAATGGTCTCTGTGGTTTGTTTGGCATTCATTTGTTGATTTATCCCCTTTAAATCTTCTTCCAGGGAAGCAGCTGAGAGAGACTTGGCTTGGCCCATGCTCCTCACCTCCTGGGATAATATTTTGATTCCTGGATGGAGCGGCTCAGTGCCTCTGGACTTAGACCACTCTGCCTCTGAGCAGGGGAGGCCCTGGTTGCCTCCTATGAGCCAGCGGGGAGAGGAGCTTCCGTAGTGAGAAGGGAGAGGGCACTGAGACAAAGTGGATGTGAAATGAGGGAGAAAGCTCAAAGCCTTGATGCCTCAGACTTTAGAAAAAGCTCCTGAAGTCTGGGGGCTGCCCTCCAAGTTAACCACTCCCTTTGCCCAGATTTTATTTTCTCTCTTCTTCTTTTTTTTTTTTTCCCAGAAATTACAGCCCCTACTCTATGGATTAAGCACTTGGTAATCAAGGACTCCAAACTGAACAACACCAATGTAAGGAATTCAGGTAAATAATCTGCCTAGGATTGTATATGTGCCTGATTTGCCTGTGGTTGCCCCATGGTTGGTCCGTGACTATCTGTTGTATGGGCTTGGGCAAGTCATTTAACCTGTCTCGTTTTCAAGTTCTACAGCTGTAAAGCGAGATCAGAGGAATGAATCCCTTTCAACTTTAATTTTCTTCAATCAGTAGCTCAGGGATCATCTTTCGTGAGCTGATCCTTTTAGCAAAAAATCTTTTGACTATATGTTTTACTATTTTAATTGACTCTCTATATGCCCTGTAGAAGAATTTGAAAAAAATGACCTGGCATGGAAAAGTTGGACTTCAAGCCATAAGAGACTTGGTTCTGTGTGTTTTTTAAGGCTCCGAATAGCTGCTTACAGTCATGTCTTTTTGGTCTGATCTTTTGAGGGTCTTGTAAGTGGTTAGGTTTTGGTATTGGCTGAACCCCTTATAGAAAGGTGATAATTTTTGGAGGATGATCAGATTTGTAGGACTCATTCATAGAGTTCATTTATCATCAATGAAGACCAAAGTCAATAAAGTTCATTTACCATCAGTAAAGACCAGATGTCCACCAAGAGAAAAATGTATTAACAAACCCAATCTGTATCTCTATCGTGGGGAAATTATCCTTCTTTCAGCTTAAGACTTTAGTATGAGAAAGGCCCCTCTGCATAATTTATGCCTGCATAAATTTGGTGAATTTCATTTCAGCCATATCATTTTTTCCTTATGGATATCAAAGTCTGTAAACAAAAGATCCATCCCTTTGAACTGATGGGCAGAGTTTTACAAGACCGTTAATTAATGAGTGGGCTGTCACTGGCCCCCTGTAGGTTTATCCGTATGCCAGCTCTATCCTAAAAGTGGTAGCAGGGGAACTTGATTGTACGAAGTGAGTTACCCGTTGAGGTGAATCCATGCAGCATTGGTTGATTTTCTCTGTGACATGGGCTGGTCAGTACCTCTGCATGTGTCTGGTTCTCTGTTTGATAAGAGCTGGAGGTATGGGATGATGGGGTGCGAAGAAGACTATGTGAGTCCTGTGGGCCAGTCTTTGACAGAACAGTGCCATGTTTAAAGCACAGGCGTTGGAATCAGCAAAACCTGTGTTCACTTTCTGGCTCCAACACTTAGCGAGTGACCCAGGCAAGTGAAATAATCCCCCCCCAGAGCCTCAATTCTCATCTGGGATCATGATCTTCCCCTCGAAGTGCTGTGAGTAAGGTTAACTGAGATACTGTCTGTCTGGTACTTAGGCAGTGCCGGGCTAAGTGATAAATAATAAGTGCAAGATAAGCTGAAAGGACATTATTTATTGTTATAATCATTGTGGTAGGAAAGATGGCAATGTTAATGATACTGCTTACAGTGAACATTCTTTAATCAGGAAAGAATTTGTGATTGTCATTGTGAGCAAAACTTCTTTGTGGAACCTTCCTCCACCTCCCCTCTTGCTGTTAGGCAAATATGATAAGTCAAAGAGACATGGTTTTGGTGCCTGGGGTACCTGGAAGTAACATCTGCCAGTGGTCCCCCCATTCCCTGCACCAGGTCTGCAAAGCCCCAGGGTGAGGCTTTATTCTCTCTCTGTGACCAGGTGGCAGATATGAGGGTCAGCCCTCTGAAATTCTACAGCACCATTTGCCTGGAACACTCACTTGACATTTAGCAGTTGCTTCCAGAAATTGCTTCTTTTTCATCTACCAGTGGTTAATTTCCCTATTGAGGCTCTAAACTCTGTGAGGGCAAGGGCTTTGTTGCCTTTCTATTATATCTATTATAGAATCTAGCTCACTTTGTTTGATTGCTCTGGGGGAGGACAGAGGAGAAAAGACCATCATCATTATCATCATCATCAAAATCGGAATCATCCCATGGGGTCCTGCACAACTTGACATGTGTTATCTCACTGAAGCTTCACCACAACCCGATGAGATAAGTAATGTTATCACCTCCATCTGACAGATGTAGAGATGGAGGCTGAGAGAGAGGAAGTAACTTATCCTGGGTCCCAGCTAGTAAGGGGTGGGACTGGGGAAAATGATTTATCTTTTCTTGTTTTCTTGGGCTATTTTCTTGGAGTGAAGTGAAGTGGTGATGTGAAGCTCTTTGATGTTTGCTTCCACAAGTTCTTTGGCTTTCCATTCCTACTTGCCCTGTATTGTCGCCGATTGGATGAGTATTGGGTCTTATTGAGAAACGGTATCCAGGCAGGTACAACCGCCTTCTTTTTGTTGGTGTGATCCAGCCACCTTCATTTTTTCCTGGTTGGCCCCAGTTATGTCTGGAAGGTTAGTGTATAGAACAGGATAGTTCAGGGAGACCTAAAGCTTCCCTGGGAGAACCTGAGACCAGCAATAATTATCAGAGATCGATACCTTAGACATTTTCATGTAAACTGAGGACTTTCTCCATCATGATCGAGTGGTAATACTGACTGAGTACCTGTGGACCCTTTTGATGGAATTATGTGTATGGGACATGGTGTCACAAAGGCATTTAGGCAGGGATTGGCAAATGACATCTGCCTGTTCATGCAAATAAAGTTTTATTGGAACACAGCCTTACCCATTTATTTACCTATCGTCTATGGCTGTTTTGGAGCTGCAATAGTAGAGTTGAATAGTTGTGACAGAGACTGTCCGGCCTGCAAAACCTAAATGTTTACTATCTGACCCCTTACAGAGAGCAGTTTGCGGGCCCTTGGCCTATGGGACTGAAATAGAAGCTTTTGGATGGGAATGTGTGCATGGGGGTGTCTTTCTCCTGGTGTCTGGCCCCTCTCATAGACCAGGCAGAAATAGGGGCTGTGACTCCTGAGATGTTTCCCAACATGCCCAGGGAAGCCCGCATCATCAGCTCAGGAACTCTGGGCAGCTCACGTGGCCCTGCCCCGTCTCACATGAACCTTTGCCAAGCTTCAACATTCTGTTCTGGTTTGTGCTCTCACAAATGGGATGCCGGGGAAGCTTCCTGAGGTCTGGCTTTTGTGGGCAGGGGTAGGGAATCATTTGTGTATAGAAGGGGTAAACCTTGTAATGGCATAAGCATGGGCTTTGGTATCAGACAAACCAATAGACCTGGCTTCCGGTGCTAGCTTCCCGTGAGAGGCTAAGTGACCTCGAGAAAGTTCATTATCTGTGAAACAAAGTTCTTAGTGCCTTGCAGGGTTTTTCTGAGGATTCAACAATATATATGAAATGCTTAATGCAGAGTAGGTACATCATGAATGATTTAAAAAATAATGGCTACTCTTGGTGGCATATCTTTATATCTTGTGCCAAGTACTCTTCATGTTATCTCATTTGGTTTGATGAAAAGTCAGATAACACTTTAGTGATAACTAATGTCTGGGCAGCTGGCTCTGGTATGGATTGGAGCCTCTGGGTCAAGCCCCCAAGGCAGTTTCCCATTAGAGTTTGCCAGAAGATTCTGGGTTAGGTGAGCTGCAGCCCCCACCCATGGGGAGGGCGAAGTGGGACTCAGAAGCCGGTCTAGGTGAGAGTTCTTCGCACTCTCTCTCAGAGGCAAGAAGGCCATCCCAGTTCCTTCTACACCCCAAACATCCTTCTTTCACACTCAGACCCTGTGACGCCAGGTTTGTTTTCTGGCCTGGGGACTGTTGATGTTGGAAAGGTTCCACTGGGCAGCCGAAGCTTTGCAGTAACATGACACATATGCCTGCAGACTTATCCTGTCTCCCTCTCTCCTCCTGGAGGGGTCGATCCTTGTTTTTAAGGCTTTGTCTTGTGTTCCCCGCGGTCAGGGTCGCCTTTTGAGGACTTGGCAGGCTCAGCATTGACGGGTTTGCCCCTCTGGACTCCTGACTCTGATTCTGGTCTCTGTGGCACCAGGAGCTCTCTTGTACCTGGCCAGCCGACACCCTAGAACCTGACAACAGGCATTTCCTCACATACGAGTGTTGGCCAGAGACTCTCTTCTGCTTTTAGGACCAAATATGAACTCTTGCGGAGTTTTTGGTATCAGAGCCTGGCTACCAAGGCATTTCTTAATATAACTAGAGTTTAAAAATCTTTTTTAATCATCTACATTTTATAGAAGAGAGCAAAGAGATTAAAGAAATGATGAAAACTAGGCTTTGTCTCATTCTTTGTCCCATATTCCATGTCCCACTGCTTCTAATTTTACTATGTGCAGACACTCTCCTACAGCTGTGATTTATAAATGTCTCTCTCTCTCTCTCTCTTTTTTTTTTTCCGTATGACAGAATTCTGTGCTTTCTTGTCTGGGAAAATACTCTCAGGAAATATGGTCATGTGAGCCTTAACTCTTCTCTTGGAGCAGCGTAGTGATGCCCTCAAGGCACATAGGCCCTCTCCCTCTGCCCCTGCCTGGCTGGCTACCTCTTGGAGCCACTGGTGGGGTCATTTGACTTCTCTTCTTCCTTCCCTGTCTCTTTCTTCCCTTTCCTGCCACCTTTCCTCATTAGCTTCTTTCATGATCTGATCTGGCATTTCGAGAAGGCCCTAGAACCTGGCCCTGGGGATGAAATCCAAAAGGACTTGCTTTTCCTCCCTTGCCTCTTTGCCCAGCAGAGCTTCCTTGCGGGCATCACCTGAATGCAGCAGCTTGGGGGAACTCTGTTTCCCCAAGACAGAGCCGTCAGCAGGGGTACAAGGTGGAAATGCGTTTCTTGTAAGTTTTGCCATGAAAACGGCACTGTCTCTGCACACGTGGGAGCGTTTGCCTAACTCACCACCCGCGTGGCCGGTCAGCTGTTCGCAGCACCCCTGCTCCTACCTACCGGCGTCAGAGCCGTGCTCCTCTCGGCCTGCTGCAGGCCCCTTGGCTGCATTTGGACTGCTCCTTCCTCACCAAGGAAGCTCCTGCCGGGACAGCTGCTATGACTGGGATGTGGGGTCACTGAGGCAACGGCACCTCCTGGCCGGATCCCCCAGCCCCCAAACCAACTCTTGGCCTGCCCAGAAACCGCGGGGTGATGTAATGACCTGAGGCCTGGAAAAATAAACAGCTCT